AGACTCCGATCTGTGGGACCCACTGTCCTCCGCTGCCACGCGTTCAGTTTTGTATCGAAGATGCCGTTTCTTTCGTTGCCAGCCGGATATTCCCAGAATATCCAGGATCCCAACACTACCTGTCATTTTAACCTTTAGTATTTTATTTCTAAACCCAAATCTTACAGGCGTTTGGTTTATGATCCACCAGCTTCCAAAATTTTAAACTGTTCTTAAATCCAAAAGTCCACACTGATTACTCTCAAAATCAAAAGACAACATTTTTGAACCCGCACTTAGCCTGTGAGTCCTTCAGTACAGATATTGGGGTGCCAAAAAAAAGGAATCAACACTTTGGGTTTGGAAAGAACAAACCTTCTGCTTTTCACCCTCCGTGAAATGTTACCCTTTTTGGAACCCGATACGCAACGGGACAATAAATAGCGATATATCGGGCGGTGATCGGATCCTCGTGGAGCCCGAGCCTCCCTTATATAATCCGACTGCCACTAAATGGCGCAACTCAAACACAAAGAAACCACGATACTCTCTCTCTCTCTCTCTCTCTCTCTCTCCTCTGTCTGACCTCACATTTTCCCGAGGCTTTTGCTGCAACGTTTTTCTTGTGCCCTAGATTTGTTTCTTTCCACTAAAATGCAATAGAATTTCATTCAAATTGTGTGAAAATTCTGGCGTCGCCTCGTTTGTTGATGATCATCTAAAGCGGACGAGGCCATATTTTGCACCTTTTGCTCTTTGGTAAGGCTTCTCATTACTAATACTGTTCTTGTAATTTCCCTCCATTTTCTTTTTTTTGCTATTTTTAAGTTGCCACTTGAGGTTCATTCTTAGATAGTAAATCCAGGTTTTTTTTTCTTCTTTTTCTTTTATTTTGATCTGATTGAGTTTATATCATACTGGCGTTTTTAATGAATTTGACGGAGTTAATAGATCGAGCAAAAGAATTTGTTTATTTGTTTTAAGAATTGATTGGCTCTTTTGGGAATCTCTCCTTGAGTGGAAAAGATTAAAATTTTAAATTCTTTTGTGTAAAAGTGACGGTGATGGTGCAGAATTTATGCTTTGTACGTGAAGGAAATGGAAGGAAAAAGTTGGACAAGGACAGCTTTTATTCTAAATTTAGCATTAAAATTAATCTCTTCAAGCATTTCGACCAAATTTATGCTGATTAATTATTTTAATTAGGTTACTATTCTTGCATGTTTCTTCACGGACGATATATATTCAAGTTATCTTTATTACCAAAATTTCCGGCTGATCACTGATTATAAGCATGCCTCTTCTTTTAAGTTGTGCGTTCATTTTTTCAGGCTTGTATAGTTTTTGTTAAGCGTCAACCCAGTTATTAATCTGTAATTAAGAGAATGTATATTTGCAGGTCAGCTTTGCGGTAATACTGTAGATACTAGTTTTTACTTATGAAACCTTAGTTTTTTACTTAAGCAAGCTTTTGCTTTAAGTTATGCAATTTTCTAAAGTTATTAAGAATTAATTTTCTTTTTAATGTTTCTGCTAATATGAAGGAATCAGATCATCTTATTGCTCTAATTCTTCTCCCCCTTTCTTCTCTGTTTTGAATATATAATGGTCCTTTACAACCTCTCCCTCAATTTTTTTTTTTAAAACCTCTGACTTCAATGAGAGAAACTTCCCGGTGGTTGGAGGCATTGCCTTGAACTTGTTGCTTCTTAATCACAAATCATATATATTATCAAACTTCATCAAACTTGTTGCTTCATAATCACAAGTCATGTATATTTTCAAACTTCATCAAGTTCCTCGCTAAGGCCTTACATTAGCATCATCCAGTAACATTGAAAATCTCATGTGCTGCATTTAATAAGTTTACAGAGATTTATGTTCATAAATTCCAACTGTGGTTGGTTATTTCCGAGGACAGACTTCTCTAGTACTCCAGCTAGCTCTTCATTAAACGAATTTTTGTTGTTGAACACGACAAAAGGCTACTGGAAATTTTTTGCATAATTTTATTTATGATTCCCAGGGAATGAGAAAAAGAAAACATTTTATTTTGCACCGAAAAATAAGTTCGATTTTGTGAATTACATAAGAGAATAGAAAGAGTCAACCATGCAACCGTTGTGGGGAGCTATAATTCATTGATGTGAACCCCCTCTCCATGTTTCAAGGGGGAAAAAACATGGAGCATGTCTCCATGTTTTAAAGGGAGACATTCCCCGAAACATGGAGCATGTTTCGGGGATGTTGTCTCTCCTTTCGCCCTATAAATAGTGGAGGAGGAAGAGAGATTTGTGGTGTGGAGGAAAAGAGAGTGAGTGAGAAGTAAAAGAAAAGAGAGAACTTATGAGTTGTACAAGTTTGATATTCTACTCATAGTGAAAACCCTCTCCCGTGGACATAAGCAAGTTTACCGAACCACATAAATTGCGTGTCTTAACTGTGAGCTGGTTTTGCTTGTAGGTTCCCTCGACAAGTCAGTCTTAGAACTGATGAGAGGTTGAGCTGGAACAAGAGTTGGCTATTGCTTGTAGGTTCCCTCGACATTCAGTCCTAGAACTGCTGACAAGTGTATATCTCACTTTGTTGAGATATTTAACTTCTGTTCTTGTTTTCTTTGTGAAACGGGAATATTAAGGTTGACTTGAGATTTTGTGAATACAAAAGTTAGGGCTTTCTCTCTCAACTGATATCGCTTCCCCGGCGTGAGGGCATGACTTTACGTCCAACAATTGGTATCAGAACCCTTTATTTAGATTGGAGGTGATAAAATTTCTGATCTGAGGTGGTGTTTCATTAGTGTGGTGAACACAAGGTATTTGTTGGAATTCCTGAGAGAAGAGGATTTATTTATACAAGCGAAGAATGACGTCAACAAGTAAAACAGTTAAAGTTAAAAAGTACGAGATCGAAAAGTTCAATAGGAAGAATGGTTTCTCCTATTGGAGGATGCAGATGAAATACTCGTTGATTTCGTAAAAATTGCACAAGATTTTGGCTGGAAAAGAGAAGAAGCATAAGGATATGTCTGATGAGGATTGGGAGGAGCTGGATCTGGAAGCACGGGCGTCGATTATCCTTTGCCTTAAAAGGGATGTAGCTTTCTTTGTAGATGGAGAGGAAACGATTGCGGGCGTGTTGTCGAAGTTAGAAAGCACATTCATGATGAAGAGTAACGAACCGGATCTATTTGAAATCCAAATTATATACTTACAAGATGGAGGAGGGCTCATCAATCTGAAAATACATCAACAAGTTTGATAGGATCATATCAGACTTAAAGGACATAGACGTGATAGTTGAAGACGAGGATCAGGTATTTCTACTACTTCTATATCTGCCGAAATCTTATGAGAACCTGGTACAAACATTGATACTTGTAGGAGACAATTTGACGATTGATGAGACTAGAACAATGCTTCTAGCGGATGACCTTCGGAAGATTACAACCAGTGACATGACTACTGGTGGTAACAAAAAACAAGTACAGAGATTGTTTGCTAGAGGAAGGGGTAATGAGTGAGGAAAAGACAAAGGAGGAAAGTCTAGATCGAAATCGAGAACTCTTGCGGGAAGGGCGTGTTTTAAATACGGTGAAGTTGGGCATTTCAAGGTTGATTGTCCTAATAAGAGAGTAGGTGAGAAAAAGGACAACAATAAAACCAAGAGGAGAGAAGACAAGGAAGAGGCGAGTTACGTCTCGGAGGAAGGGAGCGATAAAGAATGCTATGTTGTTACGGGTAACGAAGATACCCCTAGTAAGTGGATTCTTGATTCGAGTTGCTCTTACCATATGTGTCCAAATAGGAAGTGGTTTACTACCTATAGAAGCATTGATGGTGAAACCGTATTGATGGGAAATAACAATGCTTGTAAAACGGTGGGGCTTGGCGATATTAAAATCAAGATGCATGATGGAGTGGTCAGAACCCTAACGGATGTGAGGCATGTTCCTGACTTGCGAAAGAATCTCATCTCAGTTGGTGCTTTAGACTCCGATGGTTGCAGAATAATAACAGAGAACAGAGTAAAGAAAGTTGTTCGAGGTTCCTAGGCAGTGATGAAGGTTATTCGTCACTATAATCTATATACTCTCTCGGGTACAACAGTAACAGAAGATGCAGTGGTTAGAACTGATGGAAGTGGTGGAGACCCATGTGAGCACATACGGTTATGACATAGACGGCTTGAGCACATATCAGAGAAAGGCCTAAATCTGCTTGGTAAATAGGATTTGCTGAAGAATCTTAAGAAACCTTACATGGATTTTTACGAGGATTGTGTGTATGAAAAGACACACATGGTTTAATTTCTGAGAAACAATCACAAGAGCAAAGGGATACTAAATTATGTACACACGGATGTTTGGGGTCCTATTCAGACAACTTCCAAGGGTGGTTCCAAGTATTTTGTCTCGTTCATAGATGATCATTCGAGGTATGCTTGGATTTATTTTCTTAAGCACAAGAATGAGGTATTCGAGATATTTAAGAAGTGAAAGGAGATGGTTGAAAACAGGACATGGAAGAAATTAAAGATACTAAGATCTGACAATGGTACAGAGTATACAGATAGTGCATTCAAGGAGTTCTGTGATCAGGAGGACATTACTAGACACTGGATAGTCAGATCAACACCACAGCAGGATAGGGTCGCGGAGAAGTTGAACCGTACGCTGCGGGAGAAAGCAGTGAGTATGCGATCATATGTTGGTTTGGGAAAAGAATGGTGGGCAGAGTCGATTGCTACAGCTTGCTACATAGTAAATCGATCTTCATATTCTACACTGGATGGTGATACACCCTTTAGGATGTGGTTAGGGGAGCATGCAGATTATGAGAGGCTCCGGATTTTTGGGTGTACCGCCTATTATCACGTCAATGAGGGAAAGCTTAACGCGAGAGCCAAAAATGCATTATTCTTGGGGTATGCAAAGGACGTAAAAGACTATCGTTTTTGGTGTACAGAAGATTCGAAGTTCGTGATCAGCATGGATGTTATCTTTGATGAGAAATCCATAATTGCTAAGACGTCCAAGGATGATGGTGTTGGGACTGTTAGGACTTCAAAGTCTCAGGTTATTGAGATAGAACCTAAGGACTAACCAGATTCTAGTCGTGTTCAAGTGGAGGATCATGAAGATGATAAGCTTGAACATGAGGAGGTTCAGCAAGAAAATACACAGGCACTATAACAACAACAGTTCGAGGATAGTTTGGCTTCCACTAGGTCAAGGCGAGCATACAAGCAGGTACTAAAGCTGGGTTTGATCAACCCTTGAAGCATTATGGGCAGGTTAATTTGGTAGAATACGTACTCTTGGTGGAGGATGATAAGCCGGTTACCTTCAAAGAAGCTATTCGGAATAAGGATAGTGAGAGTTGGTTGGCTGCGATGGAAGAAGAGATGAAATCTCTTTGGAAAAACCAAACATGGGAGGTGATCCCATTTTACGTAGGAAGAAAAGCTATTAGTTGTAAGTAGGTGTATAAGAAAAAGGAAGATCATTCAGAGCTCGGTGGTACAAGGTACAAGGCGAGGCTAGTGACTAAAGGGTTTGCACAAAGAGAGGGTGTGGATTATAATAAAATATTTTCTCCGATGATAAAATACACTTCTATTCGGGGCTATTGAGTATTGTTGCTCATGGTAATTTTGAGCTGGAACAACTCGATGTAATGACGACCTTCTTGTACGGAGACTTGGATGAAGAGATCTCTATGCATCAACCTAAGGAAAAAAACCAAACATGGGAGGTGGTCCTATTCCACGTAGGAAAAAAAGCTATTGGTTGTAAGTAGGTGTATAAGAGAAAGGAAGATCATTCAGAGCTCGGTGGTATAAGGTACAAGGCGAGGCTAGTGACTAAAGGGTTTACACAAAGAGAGTGTGGATTACAATAAAATATTTTTTCTGGTGATAAAACACACTTCTATTCGGGGCTATTGAGTATGTTACTCATGTTGATCTTGAGCTGGAACAACTCGATGTAAAGACGACCTTCTTACACGGAGACTTGGATGAAGAGATCTATTGCATCAACCTAAGGGCTACAAGGTTGAGGATAAGGAGCATCATGTATGTCGCTTGAGGAAATCACTATATGGATTGAAGCAATCTCATCGGCAGTGGTACAAGCGATTTGACTCCTTCATGCTGAAGCATGAGTTTTCGTAGAGGTGATTATATCTATCTTTTTTTGTATGTAGATGACATGCTTATTGCTCCGAGGAGCAAGGTGGATATAGATAGGTTAAAATCTCAACTTGGTAAGAGTTCGAGATGAAGGACATGGGCGCTGTAAGGAAAATACTGGGTATGAAGATTAGAAGAGAGCGGGCGAATCAGTGATTGCTCTTAAGTCAGAAGGGCTATATAGACCGGGTGATCGCGAGGTTCGGGATGCAAAGTGCTAAGTCAGTGGTGACTTTATTGGCTCCACACTTCAGGTTTTCAGGCAAATAATCTCCCACTACAGCGGAAGAAAAGGCACACATGAAGCGTGAACCTTATGCTAGTGCAGTTGGCAGTTTGATGTATGCAATGGTGTGTACACGTTTAGATATTTCACAGGCGGTCAGTATAGTTAGTAGATTAATGACGAATCCGGGAAAGGCACATTGAGAAACATTAAAGTGGGTCCTGAGGTACTTAAAGGGTACATCGGATACGGGTCTGTGTTTTGGTGGAGATACATGTCAGATTGATGGGTTTGTGGACTCTGATTATGCGAACGATCTAGATAGACGATCTACAGTGACATGAGGCTCTAGTTAGTTGTCGATCGATGTTACATGCTACAGTGACACTTTCTATTACAGAGGCCGAATATATGGTCATGACGGAGGGAGTGAAGGAAACATTATGGTTGTGGGGTCTTCTAGACGATTTGGGGATTGAGCAGGAGAGTGAACTTGTGGTGCGATAGTCAGAGTGCGATTCAATTGGCGAAGAATCAAGTTCATCATGCTCGTACCAAGCATATCGATGTCAGATATCATTTTGTACGGGATGTCATAGAGGAAGACGATATTTCTCTCATGAAGGTGCATACGAATGAGAATCCCGTGGACATGTTAACTAAGGTGGTTACATGTTGCAAGTTTAAGCATTGCTTGGACTTGCTTCATATCAGCCCGTGTTGATCTACCTAAGAGGGTATGGCCCTTTGGGGCGATGATGGGAGTGAGATAGAGACTATGTTGAAGAATAGTTACAGAACTATGATTAGCTTGATCCCAGTGAAGGGTACGTAGGTAGCCACAGTATAGTGACACAGCTGGTTTGGCCTGGTTTGCTGTTTCAGATCTCTCTGGTGATATTCGTGGTGTTCTTTTGATGTTCGTCCAAAATTTAAGGTTTATCAAATGATGTACGAGGTGGAGAATTGTGAACCCCTCCCCAAAACGTGGAGCATATCTCTATGTTTCAAGGGGGACATTCCCTAAAACATGGAGCATGTCTCCATGTTTCAAGGGAGGACATTCCCCTAAACATGAAGCATGTTTTGGGGGATGTTGCCTCTTCTTTCTCCCTATAAATAGAGTGGAGGAGGAAGAGAGATTTGTGGTATGGAGGAAAAGAGAGTGAGTGAGAAGTAAAAGAAAAGAGAGAACTTGTGAGTTGTACAAGTTTGGTATTCTCCTCATAGTGAAAACCCCCTCCTGTGGATGTAGGCAAGTTTGGTGAACCACGTAAATCTCATTTCTTAACCGTGAGCTGGTTTTGCTTGTAGGTTCCCTCGACAAGTCAGTCCTAGAACTGATGAGTGGTTGAGCTGGAACAAGAGTTGGCTATTACTTGTTGGTTCCCTCGACATTTAGTCCTAGAACCGCTGAGAGGAAGAATGTATATCTCACTTTGTTGAGATATTTCACTTCTTTTCTTGTTTCCTTTGTGAGACGAGAATATAAAGGTTGACTTGAGCTTTTGTGAAAACCAAAGCCAGAGCTTTCTCTTTCGGGTAATATCTCTTCCGCGGGCGTGAGGGTGTGACTCTACGCTTAACAATTGAAGAATTTGGAAATAGAGGAATCAACTCATTGAAGATGAACAACCTAATCCTGTTGAAATTGATTTGTGGACCATAATCGCATAGATACAAGAGATCTACATGTTTAGGAGTCTCATTAACTTTATTCGAAAACAAAGTCTTTGTGGGTACCGAAGATTTGAGTATAACTTGGCATTTTGTTGTTTGGAAAACTCATAAACTTGAATAAAATTGTAGAAGAGCTTTAAGCAGGATATGGAAATATGATGGGGCTAGAGCATCATAGATGATCTCAAAATACTTGATTAATGGAGATTGTGGATGACCATGATATAGCTTATAAAGCTTAGAATATGTTGCTTGGCTTTTCCTTGATAGGGAGAGACTGGATCCAAATCCTCTTCATTAAGTGATCCTATTCACATGTAAGAGTCCAACAGATGATACTTAGTTTCGTGATACAGCTTTTGCACCTAAGAGTCAAATGAGCTTGCATAAGTTATTGGCTTATAGTGCTTTGCATAGTAATAATTTGCCATAGAAGCGGCACTTGATTAGCTTTGGAGAGAGGTTCATCAGGAGCACATGGAACCTTGCAAGACAAACATGGGATTCGAGAGTTAATATGAATGATATGTTGCAAATAGTAATTTATAGGTGTAATATAGGTGTAATAATTTATGTAAATGTTATGTTGCAAATAGTAGTGACCAAAAGATTTAATATGTTTTCCTCTGATAGGAATTCCAGTAATTCTTCAGATCTTTTCTCTATTCGTTGTTCATCGTTTTAATTATCTCGGCCAACCATGTCCTGCGTGTGGTACTAAACAAAGGCCAAAATGATCTTTATCAAGCCTTTTCTTGAAATATTGGTGAGGTTCATTCTCATAGTGCCAATATTTGAATAAGTTGATCCTGATTTATAAATTTCTTTTTTGTCATTACTTTCAATAAAGTTCGAGATGGATCACATAATGGTTAAATGTAATATGCTCTTAAGACCACATTTCTTTATGGTTGTTTTTTTGTCATGCTAACTCCTTTTGAGGTTCCTATATTTTAGACTTATTCGATGGTCTTCTTGTCTTAGCACTGTAATTTTGGAATGACGTATGTCAATATGTAAGCCATATTCATTATTCCTTGCAAATGATTTGTTCTTCTTTTTTCTGCATTAGCCTGATTTCTCTCTCACAAGCTGATAGGCAATTTAACACATGATAGAATTTCCTCTTCAAGCTCAGAATTATTGTTCAGTTTGTTCCAGTCAATCCTCTATGATGAATGTTTCTCTTGTAATTCTGATTTTAATAGTCTTTCTTTTTATCTTTCTTTGTCCTGGTTGTAGATAATATTTTTTCAACATCAAGATGGTTAATTTTGGAAAAAGACTGACGGCAGATCAGGTTCCTGACTGGAAAGGGTATGCTTTATTCTCTGGTTTGACACGTTAACTTCTATCTTATGTTTTATTCTATGATTTGATATGTTAAACTTCTTATTTGAATGAGAAAATAATTTACCCTCAAAACAAAGACAGCTGAAGTTTGCACCGTTTCAAGTTCTGATGCCTTTCACATGCAGTTAAAGAACGATTAAAGTTTTATCTTACTTGTTCATGCTTATCATGTAATCTCATAGTTCATTCACTTCTTGAAAATATTGTACTTTAAAAATTATTCCTTAAAAACTATCGGTCACCTAACTAATACAATATTACATAAGTGCATCATTCATAATTTAAATTGGTACTTCATCCTGAAGTAAATATATGCATAGATAATTCATAAAAATGAGGACTTTATGCCAATTTTTGGTATAAGCTTGTGGTCTTATGGCTGACTTTTCTCTCCTCCAAGGGTCCTCACCTTAATTATTTTTCCATCATATATGTCATTAAACTAGACCAATATGCCTCTTGCCTAGTATTTGTTTCTTTTAGGAAAATTGATCTTATTTTCTTCATGGGGACCCTATCTTATGTTTTTCCTACATTAATAAGTCCATACTTCTTTCATGGACGTCTTTGGCATAGTCTAAATTGTTTTCTGTTTAAAGCCTTTCTTTGTTCGATTAGTTTCTATTACTTGGCTCATAACTTTCCTGCCATGATAATGTAAACACCTCACTTTGCTTTTTTTTTTGTCACAGATGGTAATCCTAGTTCCTGTGCTGAATTTTGAGATGTCTATAGTTTGAACCATGGATTATATTTTTTCGCTCTTCCTTAACTACTCTTAATTGATTCTCACCTAAAGTTTTATGAAAGCAATTCTTCCATTTTTTTTCTCATTGTTGTTTCCTTGGATAGGTTGTCCTTTCTCTTGTATTAGCAAGATGACATGTGTATGTATCTGTGAGAAAGGGAACGTGCAGTCGTTGTAGGGAATTTCCTTTATCATTTCTCAAAGCACATTGTGGATCAAATTTCAATTATTGCTTTCATATTTCTTGACCATTGCCTTCTCATCAAATTTCAATAAGAAGATCACTTTTTGGTAAATTTGTAGGGTGTCATTTCTGGTACCTTCCTTTAAATTATATTTATCTAGTTAGCTTTTTTCCTGTTTTCTTTCTAAGTTGTATAGCACTGTTGTTCAATCTAAGAAGATAGCTGTCACTTCTAGGTTATATACAACTTTTTATTGAACAACTTTATCAATTTCTTCCACTATGGCTTCTTCATTCATTTGTCTTTATCCCTTTCGGGTTTACTAGATACTACATCAACTACAAGTTAATGAAGAAGAAAGTAAAGCAGTATGTTCAACAGAATCAAGTAAGTGGAAAGGAGCACTGCCAGATTCACAAAGAGTTTTCAAGGATGCTTGATGATCAGGTATTGAGAAGTTTATGGATCTACCTTAACTGATTCTTGTTAATGCTAAAATAACCGCCTGATGAGGTGTTATTAATGCATATGCTTTGCTGCACCTATGATCTACTTACTGTAGCATTCACATGTTCTAGAATCTGTGTTCATTTATACTGTAGTGTGGAACTAGTGCAATGAAAGTATAATTTAATAGAAAATCAGCAACTTCTGTGCTTGATTATGTTTGTGCATTTGTTTCCTTGATACAACTGTCCTTCAGATGCGAAGGCCACAGTGATGATGCTGGTTTGTTAATTGTAAGTTTACACCCCCATAAAATCAACCTGTGACTGTTTATCATATCCGACTGTGTCAAGGTTTTCTAGAAAGTCACCTTTATCCTTTCGAAATTGTTAATTATAATCCATTCTACCTGGTACATAAGCTTTCAGAGCAACTAACCAATAATCAAATTTATATAATTTACTTCTAGTTATCTAGATCGTCTTTCCTATCCTGGAGCCAAAGGTTCTGTACGATGGACATATTTTACACGACCTTGAAAGTGTTGGAATCAAAGCTACCAGCTCCCCAAATTACTTCGTACAAGTGTAATCTTATCGTCAAATTCTAGGAATATAGATTCAAGCTAATAGGACTAATTTGTCCTCAGAACAGAAGGTGTATTGTCAAGAAATTCTAGGAATATAGATTCAAGCTAATAGGACTAATTTGTCCTCAGAACAGAAGGTGTATTGTCAAGAATAACGGTAGCTGACTATTACTGTTTTACAATTAATTGACTCCTAATACTCCTTTGAATAATGTTATCTATGAGGTCCTATATGTTGAGTTGAGAGGAGTGGTGGACACTAAGAAATATTTTGTTATTATTTCTTTAGTGGTACAAACACCCAATACTTTCAAATACAAATGCTCTCTCTACTACAAAATTCTTTTACAACACACTACTATTTCACTTACTCTCTCTCTTCCTCTCTTTATTCCTTTCTCTTTCTCTCACTTACTTTTTTTCTTTGCTAGTGGGATAATCTCAAACAAATACTTAGAGGTTATTTTCTCTTTCTCTCACTTACTTTTTTTCTTTGCTAGTGGGATAATCTCAAACAAATACTTAGAGGTTATTTATAACATTGGTTTAGGGGTCGGTAAATACTATTAGGGTTAGGTGATTACTGTAGCTAGGTAGGTGGGGATAGATGAGTAAAGCTGCTGACTTTTAACACTTCCCCATAGCAACTTCTCTATCTATGAGTTCAAACTGACTTTGAAATTCAACAAACTTTGAAGTACTCAGTTGGTGAATGTCAGCTATTTGTTCGTTTGTGCTGATTAGCTTCATTACGATCTCCTCTTGAAGAATTTTCTCTCGAAGAAAGTGATGATGTACTTTGATGTGCTTCGTCCTAGCATGAGAAATTAGATTATCTGCTAATCATATTGCAGACTGATTATCATAATGTAAAGCTACTGAGTAGTTTGTGGACTGTTATAGATTTCTCATTAACTGAAAAATCCACGTGTTTTTCTGAGTTGCCATCGTTGCTGATCTATACTCCGTATCTATAATTGACAATGACACCGTTGACTGTCTCTTGCTACACCAAGATATTGCTGATCTATACTCCGTATCTATAATTGACAATGACACCGTTGACTGTCTCTTGCTACACCAAGATATAACTGCTAAACCGAGACTAAACATGTATCCAGTAATAGACCTTTGACTATCATGATCTCCCAGCATAGTCAGCATCATGATAGCCTTAGATCTCGCATTCTTCTCCTTTTTTATACATGAGACCATAGTGGATTGTACCCTTGACGTACCTTAGGATCCTTTAGATTGCTTCTAAGTGAGGCTTCTTTGGCTTTTGTATGTATTAGCTCATCACAACAATCGCAAATAAAATATCTAGTCTTGTCATTGTTAGATAGATCAAGCTTCCAACTAGTTGTTGATATATAGTTGGATCTTCCAAATCTTTTCCTTCATGTGCACACAGTCTCAGATTTATCTCTATCAGTGTTGAGACTAACTTGCAATTGAACATCTCATACTTGGGCAGTATGTCCTTCGCATACTTTTGTTAGACCCTAGAGGGGGGTGATTAGAGTCTTATGCTAATCTAATCCGATTAAATGCCAATTAAAATATATTAACAAGTTATCCTAGCAAGTTTGAAATATGATAAGATATATGAGCTAGGATAAGCAATATGAACAATGAGATATATCCTATATGATAGAAATATATGCAAGGATATATAAACAACACAAGGGTAAATAATCTAAATAGGATAGTGGATGAAATGAATGAGCAATGCATAATTGGCGATATAAGATGAATGCAAAAACAAATACGCCAAAGACAAACTTAAACAAGCAATATGATCACGGAGTTCGGACCTTCCGTCCTAAGTCTCCGCTCCCCACTCCCGGGAAGAAATCCACTATCAACCGGGTTTTCTATGTTCACCCGAATAATGTTTACACCTCACACTCGGTTTTCTAGCTAACCGAAAACTTTACAATCAACACACTATTGTAATCCCACTTTACACCCACTAAGTGTTGGACCTAGGCGTGTCTCCCTCAAGTGCCCGGTTACAACCTCTCCCTAGGCTCGTCAACCGACGCCACTCCTCTTGGGATGATCCCCGACTCTCACCACACACTCCTCACTCGGTGTACAATTGTATTAAAAAGTGAATCTCACAATAAGCACAATATAACAAATGATTGTTCTCAACTATGAATGAGAACACAATGAAAAGCACAATATAACAAATGATTGTTCTCAACTATGAATGAGAACACAATGAAAGCACAACTCAAAGTTATAATCTCTCACCACCCAACTATACTATGTATGTAAATACTAAAAGCTCAAAGTGGGTGTGTGTAACAGTGAGTAAAATAAAATTTAACTCAAATAGCAAACTAGCAATAATAAGAATATGAAAATCAATAATGAAATTGTTAGAGAAAAGAGTTAGAAAACTTCTCTAAGAACACAAAGAAGAGGATGAAGAGGATTGAGAATGAATCCCTCAATCTGCAGTGAAAACTTCCTCCTTTGTAAACAGAAACCCAAACTTAAACAAACAGTAAAACCCTAAACCCTTGTTTAAACACCTTGTTTAAAAACTTCTTAGATTACCCTTGAAAGAGAGCAGCAATAGGGTATTTATACCCACTCTAACTCTCAGTCAAAATCCTTAACAAAAGACAAAACAACCCTAGCAAACAGCTCAGAAAATAGCCGTTGAAAAAAACAACGGATCTATTGTCGGTCGATCGGAAATTCTGTCGGTCGACCGATGGAGAACAAAAACACTATGAACTGTTCTAGATCATCGTCGGTCGACCGGTGTGGTCGACCGATGGAGCTTTCGGTCGACCGACCAACTCTCTATCGCCCAGTGATGAAAGATCAAATGATCGGTCGACCGAAATCTGATACATGAAAAATAAAGTCTGAAAGCTGTTTTGCTGATTTTAAAACACTGTTTAAAAATATCAAATAAATTCCAAAAAATATAAAACTTTGGGGAATGATTGTAGACATGATAATAAACATGCTACAGCGACTGGTTATCAGAAAGGACCTCTCAAATAAAAAATATCATCATTTTACAAAATAGTCCAAAACATGAAAATATGAGATACTTGAATTTTGATGTTTTGACATAAAACAACTTTTGAAACTTTGTGAAATGTTTTTATAGACTTAGTAAAACATGTATAAACTGATATTAAAGTCTACAAACTAAGAATATAATATTTTCACAAAATTGCATATTTTATGCAATGTTTTCAAAAACACAATAGAAAATATGAAAACTCAAAACTATGTATGTATATATATAACTATATATATGCATAGAAACCAAAACTTATGTATATATATATATAACTATATATATATATGAAGAAACCAACAAATGTGTGTGTATAGATATTGAGCTTAATGTACTTAACACACATAATATAAATCCTAAACTAAATTACCCAAGCTTGATCTTGATCTTCATTGAGCTCAACTTGGTACACTTGCGGATGAAGCTTGAACTTGATCTTTAACTTGAATTGTTGTATAGGCTTCAATCCGACATTCCGCCAACCTCCTTTGGATATCATCGTTGAAGCTCTATTCCATCCATCCTCCAACAACGTTGTTTGTCTATAAAACATAGGAATGCACAAACACTAGACAAACAACATTAGTAATAAATTGTTTGTTAAACATCATCAAAACAAGAAGGCCAACAATCTCCCCCTTTTTGATGATGACAAACAATTTACAAAAAAGGAATATATGCATGAAGGAAATGAACATATACAAGATAATAACTCACATGCATATAAACAAACAAGATAGATATACTCACAATATTTCTCCCCCTTTGACAACATCAAAAAGGGGACAAAAAGAATAAGAGAGCGAAAGCTCCCCCTATCAATAAGCATAGGTGAGTATAAAAAGAATATATATAGGGATTGCTCCCCCTATCAAAAAGCCATATAAAATATATGCAATGAAGATCATGGCAAAACATATGTGAGCAAGCATACATGAATATGCTAAAAATTTACTCACATACATGAAGATAATGAGAACACATATAAAAATGTCAATATGAAAATAGTGTCTCACTAACACAAAAAAAAATATAAAAACCATATAAAAGAATAGATTTATGAAATCAAAAGAAGAGGAACATGAGAATCATGCAAAAAGTTTTCAAATGAAAACAAATCAACTAAAAGAAATCATAAATCAAAGTTTATATTCAAAAACAATGTTTGATCAATAAAGAATTTTTTTTACATAACTTGATCAAACCACTCATAGAATATATTATAAAGCACGAATAGATGATCCATTAGCACAAACACATAAATATCATCATATAAGTGAATTATAATGAATTCAAAAGCAACAAATCAAAACAAAATTTTTAAGAGAGGCAACAATTATATCAAGCTCTTGAGCTTGT